CTCAACATGATCCGGAGTTTAGAAATTCGCGATAGCCTTGACGTACAGCCGCTATTTCTGTTTGAGAGGTCACAGCTGCGATGGTTTGGGCACGTGATGCCACGCCTCCAGAAAAGAAGGCGAAGCAACTACTAAGTGTCCAGCCGACTGATCTTGGTCATGAGTCTTGAAGGACTCTAGTAGGTTATCTTCTACAGAAGATGAAACGGCGGCAAAAGATCAGGAACGCTGAAAACACTGTCTCAGTGACCCGAAGGGATAAGCAGTCATCTAACCTGACTCTCGGCTGCAATTCATATGGCTTACAACCAGTAACGGCTTTCGACCGTCAACGATCAGTCGTCGTTTATGCCTGAGACGAAGGTCGATAAATCATGCTCACATGCACAGCACCGAACTCGGAAACTCGAAGCGCAGCGAGCGCGATTACTGGACGTTTTTTAACGGTGCTCAGTGTAACTCCGCAGAGTATGACCACGACCGAACTTGCCGTGGCACATCGCTTAATCATCACGCTGGTGCATACAAAACCAGTCATCAAGACTGTTCCAGCAACTTTCATGTACTGCTGTTCTGGTGTCTGAAAACCGAAGTCAACAACAGCAGCTGGACAAAATGACGATTGAAACATACGGCAGCCGTTCAGTACCAACGTGCTGAAAGTTTGCCTCGAAGGGGAATGAAGAACTTCTATATTATAGTCATGGTTCATTGACTGAATAAAATCGTATCGTAATGACATTTTTCAGAGAAGGAATAAAGCGATATAAATGAATTGGGGACATCTGACGTTTCGGATCAAGCTCGGTCCGCCTTCTGAATACAGTTGTCCATTCCTAGTTAAAAAACATTCCATGCGTTGTTTTCCCGTTTGTGACTTTCAGAAACATTATATCATCTGACATCAATGGATAAGAAAAATCGGACAGTCAAAGCACGGAGGATCTGAACTTATGTGAGCGACAGAGATACATCTGCGGTAAGAGACAAGGATTTCTCTCGATGACAAATTATTTTAGTAACTACCGAATCAGACTTGGATGTAGCCTTAAAAGTTACTGGCAAAAGCGACTATAGATTTATTTCAACCTTGGTACTTTGCCTTGTGTTCTCCAACTTTTAAGTACTGTACTGAAATGTTTCCTCGATATTCAACCCCGTCCTTGTCCTGAAGTGTGCATAGCAGTCAAATTAGGAATCACAGTTAAGAACAAATTACAACGGATCTATTTTTGTAGCCGTTATGATTGATAACTTTAAATGGGTTCACTAACGAGCCAGTACACCAACGATGACGGATTTTATCATGAGCAGAAGTTACACCTGTCAAGGCAAAAGGTAAAATCACTGTACACTGACACAAAAGGACAGAACTTTTGTTCATGGTTATGCACAATGATGACATGATTGAGTATCCTGCCGTTGTCCGTCTGGATAGTGACTGGCGATTATGAATCAGTGACAGATTTATGCTTATCCACGTACATGGAAACAACTCATTCAACACATATAATCCTCCAAATGCGCAACAAACGAGTTCGGTGTTCGCATTAGGGCTTTTGTCGTCATCATTTAAACCTAACAAAGTTGGAAAGTCAGAGTTACCCGACTGGCGATATCTAATATGGCAGAAGTTGCACATCATATTCATATCAACGGCTTTAAGCAGAGATGAAACGGAAGTGCGAATTAGGCTTTAATGCAAAATGGCTTGTATGAATTTTCCACTACAAATCAGATACGTAAATGAATGAAGTATGTAGAACATAAAAAACTGTTATACGCGAGATGCTGAAGGGAAGATGCGTCAGTAGCATAAACCATGCGTCACCACCGGCAATACTGTACAAACTCGGTGTCTACCTACAAATCGAACAGCTCAATGTTTAGAAATATCGCAACCATAATCAGTAGTTGGCAGAGGTCGTTTCGAAACAGTCAATAAAGTTTGAAAACGCAATGGGGTT